ATCAGGCTGCTGATGCACTTGCCTCACAGGTACAGATTGACCTGCTGGCGGCACCATACTTTCGGACAGTTCCTTTTTAATGAAAATGGTTTTTATTGAAAGTAGTTTACTCTGAAAACTGAGGGGAAAGAGAGGAATATGTTTTCAAGAGAAAACATGGGTTTCTCCAGTATGAAAAAAAGTAGAAAGAGAGAAATGTATTCAAGCGAGAACTGGACGTGAAAGAGGACGTGAGGGATACTCTTTTTAATTTCTATTTCTTCCGATTTATTATTTGAATACAAAAATGTCATAGATTTTACATATTAATTTTGTTACCTACAGCCTTACTGTAAAATAAATACTAAGAATTTTCTTGGTAGAGTCGTTTGGGTTTTCAGTTTAGAGTATCATGTCATTCTCTTCTCCCCTCACTGCCTGAGAAATAAAGACAAAAGGAAAATCTGTAGCACTCAACATTCTACTCTTCCATTAAGTCTCAAGATCCCACACTGTTTTCTCTTTTTCCACCGTTTAGGGTCTTCTTATATTTGTTCTGCATATAGAATGCATGGGTTTTGGTAGTATCTAATGGGACATATAGGGAGAAGATAATATACTCATTTTTTGCATAAATAGAAGTTCTTTGTGTTTGTGTATGTGTTTATTTGGACCATATCTTTCTGTGCTCAGGGCTTACTCCTGGCGCTGTGCTCAAGGGTAACATTTTTGGTGGTTCTTGAGGGTGCATCTGGTTGGTGGGGATTGAGCCCAGGTCACTTGTGTGCAAGGCTAGTGTGCCTTACCCTCTTTACTATCTCTCCAACCCCTTAAAGTTTTAATTTTTACATTGCCATATCTTTCTTCTTTGTCTTTCTCTTTGTACTTATTTTTATAAGCATGTTTAAGGTTTGTAATATTTTGTTCTTTTATACCTTACATTGGGGTGGGAGCAATCTAAGCAATGCTTAGGGTTCTCGAGGGCCCTTCGAAATAATTCTCTGTGAAGTGGGCCAGCAGTTCATTGTGAGGGCTCAATGATGCCACTTAGGCCCTGCAGTGTCAGGGATTACTGAGTCATCCCTCGGTCATCCGAGTAATCTGGTAATTGGAAGACTTCTGGGCTGCACTAGGTGGTGCCTTGAGTTCATACTCCAAAACTTTCAAATGTGTACAATGTAATGTCTCTATGGTGCATTTAAAGAGATGCACCACAGGTGCACATTGAAATAGCCAATCTTATAGGAAAGGCATTTCAGCATTTATAATTCATTACTCAGTTTTACTCAGCATTACTCAGTTGTTATTATGGGTTCAATAGCTACTTTAATTTTTCATTTGAAATGTTTAATTCGTATAACATATCATTTTTGTTTTGTAATGTGATCTTATTATTTATCTCAAAATGTATGAAAAAGCTATTTAGTTATCTGGTGCAAAAATATCCCAATCCTAGTTAATCATTTTTTTATTAGTGAAACACCATGAGTTACAGTTGTAGATTTACAAATTTTTGTGCTTGGATTTCGGTTATACAATGATCAAATACCCATCCCTCCACCAGTGCCCATTTTCCACCAGCATGGATAACATCCCTCCCCACCATCCCCCCTATCCCACCCTGCCTCTGTGGCAGGGCATTCCCTTTTGTTCTCTCTCTCCTTTTGGGTGTTGTGGTCTGCAAAAGAGGCATTGATTGGCAAACATGTTCAGTCCATAGTCTACTTTCAACATGCATCTCCCCTCCTGGGAGGATCCTCCAAACACCCTTTATTTGGTGCTCCCTTCTCTATCTGAACTGCCCTTTCCCCTAGAATACCCTGCTGGCCTCTAAGCTATGGAGTAATCCTCCTGGTGTTGATCTCAGCTATTCTTGGGTATTAATCTCATATTTTGTTACTTTATGTTCCCCAGATGAATGCAATCTTTCTATGTCTATCCCTCTCTTTCTGACTCATTTCGCTTAGCATGATACTTTCCATATTGTACCACTTGTATGTAAATTTCATGACTTCATCTTTTCTAACAGCTACATAGTACTCCATTGTGTAGATGTACCAAAGTTTCTTTAACCAGTCATCTGTTCATGAGCACTCAGGTTCCTTCCAGTTTCTGGCTATTGTAAAGAGCGCTGCAATGAACAAACAAGTGCAGATGTCACTTTGACTATACATTTTTGCCTCTCTGGGATATATTCCCAGGAGTGGTATTGCTGGGTCAAATGGGAGCTCAATTTCTAATTTTTGGAGAAACGTCCATATTGTTTTCCAAAAGGGCTGAACTAGTCGGCATTCCCACCAACATGAAGGAGTGTCCCTTTCTTGCCACATCCGCGCCAGCATCGGTTGCCTTTGTTCTTTTGAATATGGGCCAGTCTCTGAGGTGTGAGATGGTATCTCATTGTGGTTTTGATCTGCATCTCCCTGATGATTAATGATGTAGAGCATTTTCTCGTGCTTTTTTGCCATTCGGATTTCTTCTTTGAGAAAGTTTCTGTTCATTTCATTGCCCCATTTTTTGATGGGGTTGGATGTTTTCTTCTTGTGGAGTTCAACCAGTACTTTGTATATCCTTGGTATCAACCCCTTGTCAGATGTGTATTCGGCGAATATCCTTTCCCATTCTGTAGACTGTCTTTGTATTTTGGTCACTGTTTCTTTGGAGGTGCAGAAGCTTCTTAGTTTAAGATAGTCCCATTTATCTATCTCTGTTTTCACTTGCTCGGCCAGTGATGTGGCATCTTTGAAAATACCATGAGCCTCAGTGTCATGGAGGGTTTTGCCAACTTTGTCTTCAATGTACCTTATGGTTTCTGGTCTGATGTTGAGGTCTTTAATCCATTTTGATCTTACTTTTGTATATGGTGTTAGGCAGAGTTCTGAGCCCATTTTTTTGCATGTAGCCATCCAGTGATGCCAGCACAATTTATTAAAGAGGCTTTCCTTACTCCACTTCACATTTCTTGCACCTTCATCAAAGATTAGATGATCATATGATTGAGGGGAGATGTCAGTGTATTCAACCCTGTTCCATTGGTCTACAGTTCTGCCTTTGTTCCAGTACCATGCTGTTTTAATTATTACTGCTTTCTAGTAGAGTTTGAAGTTAGGGAGGTTGATTCCTCCCATTTTTCTTTTTCCCAAGAATTGCTTTAGCTATTCGTGGGGACTTATTGTTCCATATAAATTTCAGGAGTGTTTGCTCCATTTCTTTGAAGAATGTCATGGATATCCTTATAGGGATTGCATTGAATTTATACAATGCTTTCGGTAGTATTGCCATTTTGACAATGTTAAGTCTCCCGACCCATGAGCAGGGTATATCTTTCCATTTCCTCATGTCCTCTTTTATTTCCTGAAGTAGCGTTTTGTAGTTTTTCTTGTACAGGTCCTTTACTTCCTTAGTTAAGCTGATTCCTAGGTACTTGATTTTCTGGGGCACAATTGTGAACGGGATTGTTTTTTCATGTAGCTTTCCTCTCTCTCACTGTTTGCGTATAGGAAAGCCATGGACTTTTGGGTATTGATTTTATAGCCTGCAACTTTACTATATAAGTCTATTGTTTCTAGGAGTTTTTTGGTGGCGGTTATTGGGTTCTCTAAGTATAGAATCATATCATCTGCGAATAGTGAGAGCTTGATTTCTTCCTTTCCTATTCTAATCTCACACTGCTCCCTCCTCATTCTTGTTTCCTCCTGTCTCTCCTGCTCTTCTCTCGTGCTTCATCTTGCAGCCTGGGATCTTCCTCTCCACGCACCTGCTCCTGTATTCTTCTTCTACATTCTATCTCTGTCCCCCTTGTTAGTCTCTTCACACTCCATCTTTCTGGCCCTGCTCTCTGTCTCGTCTCTCTCCAACTCCAGTCTCTCTCCCCTACTCCAGCACTCTGCCTTCCTAGCCCCTCATTCCTCCATCCCAGCTCTCTGGATTCTGCCTCTCTCCCCGTAGTCTCTCCACCCCAACTTGTCTCTCTACACTATGCCCTCTGGGCCCATGCTACACCCAGTCTTGTAGCAAAATCAACATAAGAAAGCCCTTCCTGACTGTCAAGGGGAAAATACCTCTTAAGGTGTTTTCCTCCTTTCCTCAATCCAACAACTCAAAGATCTTAATACTAGTTATTTTTGTATGGACACAGTAAGAGATACATTGAGCTTCTAGGGCAGCTCTACTGGAAACATCTTGCCACAGACTCAGACTACAGTGCTCAGGCCAGGTTAATCATTCCTAACCCTAGCAGCGTCCGAATCTAGTTATTACTTTTTGTATCATGACAGCATTTGTCCATGAACAAGCTCTTAACTTATAGTTAAACATTAAGCACTTTGGCCAGGCCTATCTCGATGCCAGGGTAGTACATATCTTGCTGCTTGCCCTGGTTCCATCCAGTCACTCATTGGGACCCTGCTTTTGGGGGTGCTAGGAAGTAAGGGGCTGGAGAGATAGCACAGTCGGTGAGGCGTTTGCCTTGCATGCAGCTGACCCAGCCGGCCCAGTTCTATTCCTCTGTCCCTCTCGGAGAGCTTGGCAAGATACTGAGAGTATCTCGCCCACGTGGCAAAACCTGGCAAGCTACCCGTGATGTAGTCTATATACCAAACACAGTAACAACAAGTCTCACTATGGAGGCATTACTGGGCCCGCTCGAGCAAATTGATGAACAACGGGAGGACAGTGACAGTAACAATTGTTATTATATAGAATTGTAATTAATTTTCACATAATTGCATTTTATTCTACAAATTTGCTAAATTTGTTTTTCTAATAGATTTTGTATGGATTTCTTAAAAATTGTCTTCTTAACCATTATCTGTGAATCGAGGTAGTGTTGTTCTTCCTCTTCAATCTAGAATCCATTTATTTTATTCATGTTAGCTGTGAGCTTTTCACAAATGCCTTTTATGTTGAGGAAGTTTCCTTCTTGTTTTAGTTTTTGAGTATTTGATTTTATTAATATAGATGACTTTGTTATAATGATGCTTTCAAAATATTTCTAATGACTGCTTCTGCTTTAATTTTAGGTTTGATATCAGTTACTACTCTGGACACAACTATTAGTTGAAGCACCATGCTGTTTACACCACAATTAAGTGTTTCTACCACCACCAGTACTACTAATATTGCATGTAAGTTATTAGTTGCCAGTAAAATCTATTATTTATTATCAGGACAGTTAACTTAATAAAGTAAATTATGGATCTCCTGATACCTCAGACTTTTGACGAGATTTTTTTTCTTTCCTGTCTGTGATATCCTTGCCTAGAATATGAGATAAAATCTTGACCATAGTATTTTTAAATTCACCTTATTGAGATAGAACTTACATATTATAAAACTAGTTATTTTAAGTGTACAACTCAGTAAAATAATAGTATAATTCCTGAAATGTATAACCATCATCATGATAATAGTCATATAATGTTACTGTCATCCAAGTAATATCTCAGTTCCTGAAAACTAGTCTATCTCTGTCTCTATATATTTGCTTTTTACACATTTTATAAAAGTGGATTAACCAGGACTTTTTTAAAATATAGACAAAAGTTTATAAGAGATTCTTTTTTTTTCTTTTTGGGTCACAACTGACAGTGCTCAGGGATTACTCCTGGCTCTGCACTCAGGAATCACTCCTGGAGGTGCTGGGGGGACCATTTGGGATGCTGGGAATAGAACCTGGGTTGGCCACATGGAAGGCAAACGCCCTACCTGCTATGCTATAACTCCAGCCCCATATAAGGGATACTTTAGTTTAAACTATTCTGTGTAAGTTTTGATCTTTTAATTATGGGATAATTGGTAAATTATGTTGTTTTATGCAGTTGTGCTCCAACAACTGTAATATTTTAGTGGTATAGTTTTAAAATTTGGATTAAAATTTCTGGGGTCTTCTATTGATTTAGCAAAATTTTAGAATTATTGGCATGTATTTGGATGCCTAATTAAGAATATGCTGAATAACAAGCAGTGAGTATGTTTTGTTCCATAGCTTATTATAGAACTATCATATTTTTCATCTCATCAGAGTATTCAAAAGGTACACAAATATTTGATATTGCCAAAGAGCAGAAAGAGACAGAAGTGATATTGATATTGTTTGTCTACTTTTGTTTTAGGGGGCAGACCCAGCTTTGTTTAGGCTTTACTATTGGCTTTGTATTTAGTGATTAGTCCTGGAAGATTTGGGGAACCATATGGGACTATATGGGACCATGTGGGGTGCTAGGGATTGAACCTGGCTTGGTTGTGTCAAGGCAAGTACTCTACCTGCTGTACTATTGCTCCAGCCCTGATGTATTTATTTTAAAATGATAAGAATGAAAGTGGGAATCAAATTCTTAGGTGTAAAAATCTTACAAAAAACTTTAACACTTAAGAATGTTTAGTATTAAAAAGTGGAAGACGGTTATCAGATTATTTTAGTTATGTTGATTTTGAGTTTCAGGCAAAGAAACTGTCAAGAAGCAATAAACCTAATTCTAGACCCAGTAAAAATTATGCTAGTTCACAGATGGAAAAGGAAGAGGGGGGAGAAAAAAGTAGAGTGACCTTTTTTGTGATGGGATGCCTCTGGAATTTGGAGGTGGCAGAATTGACAAGTACACAAAATACAGAGATGATGCTAAACCTTTGAAATTTGTAATTTTATACACCAGTGGAGAGGGAAATAAAATGTAACAATTTGGAAACAAAAACTCCTAAGTAGTCAGGAACTGCTAAGCCTTTAGTGAAAGAAGTTAAGTGTTCCAAAATTCTAACTTTTGCTTGAAAACTTGTATTTTATGGTAGGTAAGAAACACTGTTAGTTTTTTTCATTGAAGTGGCTGATTTGTTTTCATTTTCAGAAAAACATCTGCCAAGTACCCTAGTCTGACTAACCACAGTTTATCAATTGAAAGTCATTCTTTAAAATAAGAATGGTGGGGGTATGATGCTGCAAGCAGGTCAATTGGTACCTGTGAGGCGAGTGCATCAGTAGCCTGATGGCGCCTTCAGACTTCCAGATACCCCCAAATTGCTGCTGTGCCTTTGGCCAGACCCCAAAAACGTGGGGCAAAGTTTACCAAGAAAGGAAACGGCCAAAAGTTAGGTATGTGGGAGACACATCCATAAACCACATACGGCTCAGCTATATAATTGGAGGCATGGACTCTCTGGTTCCTGATAGAATTGCTTAATGGCCATGATCCCAGAGACTCAGAAACGAATCTCAAAACCCAATGGCTGTTGGCAAAAATGCGTCTGGACCCTGCAGTAGGTTACCGGCTCTGGGCCACCCCAGGTAGGAGTAGGTTTCGTGCCTTGGCCTGTTCTTCCTGGTGGCCCAGTACCGCCAATCTCCAGACGCCACTGGACAGTCAGATTTGGGCCTTCGTGATGAGACATGCGGGGCCTTATGGGATGGGGGTGGAGCCAGTCCTTTCCTCCCCACCCCAACGAGACCCAAAGTCATGGCCCATGAATGGCCTCTCTGGCTCCTGATCAAATTGCTTATTGACCATGATCCCAGAGACTCAGAAACAAATCTCGAATCCAGCGGCTTTTGGAAGAAATGCGTTTGGACCATGCAGTAGGTTACTGTCGCCGGGCCACCCCAGGGGGGGAAGGGTGCTGTCCCTCAGCCTGCTCCCCCTTGGTGGCTCAGTGGCTGCCATCCTCCAGAGGCCATTGGACAGTCAGGTTTGGACCCGCAGTGATGAGACATGCAGGGCCTCACGGGATGGGGGGTGGAGCTGGCCCTTTCCTCCCCACCCCAATGAGACCCCGAGTTGCCGCCCATGAATGGCCTCTTTGGCTCCTGATCAAGCCATTTAATGGCCATGATGCCAGAGACTCAGAAATCTTGAAACCCAGCGGCTTTTGGCAGAAATACGTCTGGTCCCTGCAGTAGGTTACCAGCGCTGGGCCAACCCAGGTGGGAATAGGTTTCGTGCCTTAGCCTGTTTCCCCTGGCGGCCCAGTGGCTGCCATCCTCCAGAGGCCACTGGACAGTCTGAGCCTGCAGTGACGAGACACATGGGGTGGAGCTGGCCCTTTCCTCCCCACCCCATCAACACCCCGAGTTGCCACCCATGAACGGCCTGTATGGCTCCTGATCAAGCTGTTTAATGGCCATGATCCCAGAGACTCAGAAACAAATCTCGAAACCCAGCAGCTTTTGGCAGATATGCGTCCGGACCCCACAGTAGGTTACTGTCACGGGGCCACCTTACGGGGGGAAAAGGTGCTGTCTCTCCGTCAGCTCCCCCTAGGCGGCTCAGTGGCTGCCATCCTTCAGAGGCCATTTGACAGTCAGGTTTAGGCCCTCAGTGACAAGACACGTGGGGCCTCACGGGATGGGGGTGGAGTTGGCCCTTTCCTCCCCATCCCAATGAGACCTTGAGTGGCCGCCCATGAAAGGCCTTTCTGGCTCCTGATCAAGCTCCTTAATGGCCATGATCCCAGAGACTCAGTAACAAATCTCGGATCCCAGCAGGTTTTGGCAGAAATCCCTCCCGATTTAATTGTTAAAATTTTGGAATTTCAAAATCACGTGGCCACTACTGCAGCCACGTGGCAACATATGTTATTCTTAACCAGCAATAGAAAACAAATTGTCTACTGTTTCCTTTTCAGCAGATCTGAGTGTTGGGGTAAACTCCCAAATATAATGGTGGGTCTGGTGCCAAAATATTGAATGTAATCAAAGTAGAGAGAGAGTAATGTGGAAATCACCTGCCCTACTGGTACGTGGAGGTTGTGGGATGGGGATATACTGCGGTTTGGGGGGTTGGAGAATGGGCACTGGTGATGGGACGGGTGTTTCATTGTATGGCTGAGACTTAAACCCGAAAGCTTTGTAACTGCTCTCATGGTGATTCAATAAATAAAATTATAAAAAAATGAAGAAAAAAAAGTAAGGTGGAGTTCATGCCCAATTCAATCATCTTATCAGTGGCTGAATAAATAGCAGTACTTCTACATTAAAAAAATAAAACAAAATAAAATAAGAATGATATTTTGTGGGGGAAAAGAACTGATATTATTTTATTATTTATTTATTTAGTGAGATACAGTTACACAATTTTCATGTTTGAGTTTCAGTCATACAATGATCGAACACACAATCGCTCCAGCAGTGCACAGTCTCCACTACAATGCATTTATTGTTTTTTATTTTTTAATTTTTTTTACTGAATCACCATGAGGTACAGTTACAGACTTACAAAATTTCATGCTTACATTTCAGTCATACAATGATCGAGTACCCATCCCTCCACCAGTGCCCATTCTCCACCACCAATGTTCTCAATATTACTCCCACCACCCCCACCCATCCCCAATGCCCCGCCTCTGTGGCAGGCACATTCCCTTTTACTCTCTCACTCCTTTAGTGTGTTGTGGTCTGCATGCAGGTATTAAGTGGCCATCATGTTTGGTCTGTAGTCTACTTTCAACACACATGTCTCATTCCAAGCAGGCCCTCCAAGCACACTTTACTTGGTCCCTTCTGTATCTGAGCTGCCTTTCCCCCCAGCATGTGAGAGCAGCTTCCAAGCTGTGGAGCAGTCCTCCTGGAGCAAAACTCATATCTACTATCCCTGAGTGTTAGTCTCCTATTCTGTTACTTTATATTCCACAAATGAGTGCAGTATTTCTATGTCTGTCCCTCTCTTTCTGACTTGTTTCACTTAACGTGATACTCTCCATGTTGATCCAATGAGTACCTTGTATATTCTTGATATCAATCCCTTATCAGATGGGTATTGGGTGAATATCTTTTCCCATTATGTAGATTGTCTTTGTATTTTGGTCACTGTTTCTTTTACCAATGCATTTTTGAACATTTATTGTATCACTATGAATTACAAAATTACAAAGGTATTTATGATTGAGCTTCAGGAATATATTGTTCCAAGACCAATTCCCTCACCAGTTTCCACTACCCTCCACAGATGTCTCCAGTTTCCCTCTGCTCCCCATCCTGTCTTTGTGACAGGCACTTTTCCCCTCCCTCATTGTCCTAGTGCTCCCTTCCCTAAATTATCCCTCCTTACCCCTGTCTCTGTGGCAAGCTTCCTACTGAAGACCATTTCTCCTATTCTTAATTTCTACTGCCACTGGACATTTGATATTCTCCTATGAAATT